TAAGGAGACTGCTTCCTGTGAACACTTGCCTCTGATTTACTGAACATCTTCTACAAGATTTCCTTGTTGGTATGAGCCGACTAGGAGAGTTTTCGATGGGCTGTCCCGGTGATGGTCAAACTGTGCCCTTCACAAATCCAACCCAAGCTCTGCTCTTCAAGCTGTGGGCCAGGTACACTTGTGAGGAAGGGCATCTTTTCCTTCATGTGAAGCACTGAGGGAGAAGAAGGAAACATCAGTTAGGCAGACCACTAAGGCTGGTCCTTGGAGAAGCAGCCTGCCTGAAAAATCGTAGCTACAGGCAAAAATAGAGTAGCCTGGGGAAAACTCAGGCTGCACCTGCACAGACTAGCACGCAAGGTCCGGCACAGAAGCCTTTTGTTCTTCGTGTGATTAGCCAGATCCCAGGGAAAAGTTTCCTGTTCTTTTCAGACATGTACACGGTGGGCTCCCTGGGAACTTGCACAGGGAGGAGGGGGCTTCCTTAAAACAAAACCCGTAGTTTTACAAACAAGAGAAGCGGCGCTTTGAGCTTACCTAGAGTCATACCCACAACTACATAGACAAGGGGTAGAGTTTGCAGACAGCTTTTCACAAAGAGAAGTTACTCAAACAGCTACATAGATGAGAGGAGTTTCTTCTAAAAGCTTTTGGACTCAACTGTAAAAATGGCAACCCACTCACGCTCGCCTGTGCACCGTGGAGAGCTTGCTTTTTTTGCTCATTAAACTTTTGCTCCAATCTCATTCTTTGTGTCCACGCTCCTGAATTCTTTTGATTGTGAGACGATGAGCTTGGATAACACCTTAGACAATGAGACCAGTGACCCTGACCTGTTTCAGCACCATCTATCCAGGGGCCTCATCCATCCGGAGGGAGCACTTTTTCTAAGACACCCTACGAGGGTGCCCACCTTCTCGTTTTTTTTAGGAGGTAATTTCTCACTCTCACCCAGGCTGGATTGCAGTGGCACAATCATGGTTCACTGCAACCTTGACCTCCTGGGCTCAAGAGATCCTCCCACCTCAGCCTCCCGAGTAGCTGGGACGACAGGTGCGTGCCACCATGCCTGGCTATTTTTCTTTTTCTAATTTTTTAAACTTTTATTTTAGATTTAGGGTACATGTGCAGGTTTGTTATATAGGTAAACTTATGTCAGAGGGGTTTGTTGTATGGATTATTTCATCACCCAGGGACTAAGCTGAGTACCTGTTAGTCATTTTTCCCGATCCTTTCCCTCCTCCCACTCTCCACCCTCAGGGAGTCCCCAGTGTGTGTGTGTGCTCCTCTCTTTGTGTCCGTGTGTTCTCATCATTTAGCTCCCACTTATAAGTGAGAATATGTGCTATTTGGTTTTCTGTTCCTGCCCTAGTTTGCTAAGTATAATGAGCCGGGGGAACCCATCTTAATATTCCTGCAAAATCATCATATAGGCTCTGTTCCGAGGTTCATTTTGTGCTTTTTTGCCTTCTGGAAGCAAAACATCTAAAAGAGAAAAAAATGATTACTGTGTTCAGGAAATCCCTGAAGCCAGTCTCAGTGAAGCTTCAATCTGGTCTCTGAAGAGCGGTGTAGCCGAGGTTCAGGAGAGGAAATTTTCCTGGTGAGCATGATGAAAAGCTTCCAACTCAAAGGCAAGATTCCTATAGAGGGTCTGTTACTGCTCATCTTACCCATTTTTCACTCGGCTGTATTACAGAATACTGGGGTTTCAACAAAAATGATTTCACTTGTTTTCTAACTTTTGTTATTTTTTATGTAGGTAGTATAGTTACATGTATTCAAATTTTCAAAATCTCATGCTTGAAATTTGAAAATGTATGAAAGACTCTATAGGCAGACACCGTCTGAGGGGCACAGTCCTGCTAAAAGTGTGGGTCATGGCCCAGCTGTGTCAGCGTCACCTTGTTGGAAGTGCAGATCTTGCCCTCGACCTGCTGAACCAGAATCTGCATTTTAACAAAATCCAGGTGATCCATAAAAATCGAGAACTGTTGTAGATGCGTGAGTGTAAACATTGTGAACCTGAGTCTAGGCTACAGTGCTTTCTCAATACCAACACAGGAAGGCAGCACAAGTTGAACTACATCTTGTTAGCATCCATGTCTTAGGATTGCTTAATTTACAAATCCGTAACACCAACAGCCACACGGGTTAGTTAACAGAGCTGGCAGGCGTATGGATGTCTAAGATCAACACAGCTTTGTTGCATAGAGCTAATCTGAGCAAGTGGATGAATACAACTCTCCACCCCCCAAAACAACCGATCACATGAAGAGGCCTACTTCAGGGGATAAAAATGGCCAGTTTGAAAGTTCCTGCTCCCTTAGAGGAGTGCATGTGTGTGTGTGTGTGTGTGTGTTCGCGCGCGCGTGTGCGTGTGTGCGTGTTGGGAGAGAGAGAATACTGTCCTACTTTTCTTCTACTATTAAAAGGTCACGTATACTTTGAGTTTCTGTTTGAAGGCTCTAGAACTGATTCTGACAAATGTCCTATAATATCTCATCCTTCATTTCTACAAGGGAAGAAAAGAATACTGCAAGCCCTCTACCTAGAGTATCACGGCCTAACCTCTATCTCAAACAAATATGTGTGTGTTGTGGTAGGCATTAACATATTTAGATTGTTTAATTTAGTACTGGATGCTCCTTTTGCTAATTCAGATAATCCTTCAATGACTATAAGTAAGTTGAAGAGCGAATTATGCTTGGTTTCCCCTCACTAAATGCAATCCAGTTCCATGAATATAATGTCAATCACTGTAGGTCTTAGGCATCCATAATTTCAAAGGACTGTTTCTGCATATGTAAGTAAATACGTATATATTCTGTTCCCTCTCTGTCTCATGAAAGGGAGCTTGTTCAATGCTGTGGGTCCCTTGAGCCCAGCTTTTCCATTTGTATACCTTCTCTCGTTTCTGCTGCAAAGACTGATTGTGTGGACGCTCCATTGTGAAGCAGTGTCAGGCATAGAAGCTTTGTTTAGCTGGACTTTGAGCTCCATCAGAGCTGACTGGGTGAGAACCTCAAGGCTTAAATGATGATAAATGAGACAAAAATGTTATTTGCTGCTCTTTTCTGAAGTCATTAAAATAATTTATTTTAAAATTATCATGAATCTGTTTTCTAAAAGGGATAATACATGTAAATGGCACAAACAGTAAAATGAAACAAGGTCAGTGGTAAAAGGACGTCTCTTACCTTGACCTCAAGTCATCTAGTTTGCTTCCCAAGGACAACTAATGTTACGTTGTCTTTTGTGGCTTTTGTAGACCCTCATCCAGGTGTTTCTTGCTTTGCTTCCAAGAAGGCAATTTACCATGAAAGAGCAACAGATTGCATTAAACAGTTATTATTATTTTTTTTTATAGTGGGAGACTTCATAGTTTTCTAAATTTTCCAGGTCTACACCTGGGAGACAATGCCTGCAGACTGGCTTTTTAGGAATAAAGGAAACTTGCATGCACTGGGTTGTTCCGTATAGAATTGATCCTGCTTGTATTGATGGAGCAAATATTTATTTACAAAATTCCTTTCTTCTTCATTTCTATCATTCTGTTTCTCAATGAGATAGGCATTGAGAAACAGAATGATACGACCCCTCAAGGCTACCAGTAAAAAGCAGTGAGTTCGTGGAACATTCCTCATCCTTCACAATGACCTCTAAATGTCTCTTTTAGAAGTATCCTCTAAGTTCCTGATTCCAAATTAGTTTGGGTACACATACAGAAACTAGAAGTGATTTAGGCAATCAGTTTTAAATATTAACATTTATGTTAAAACAGACATTGATACATTGTGTATTTTTTTCAGTTTTAACAAAGGATTTTGTTTGTTCCTTAAAAAGTAAAATCTAGAAAATAGCAAAACCCACTGCAAGAAGAGTTCTATAATAAAACATTTTCCCCACTGCCGGAAGAGTTCCCCTTCACATGGTGTCCTCTTTCATGTACGCATTATCAGAAAGCAGACTCATGAATGCAAACCCTGTGTGAAATGCACATGCACCAGGATTGCTCACACCTGCTGCACCTCCTTGGAAGCCAAGGGAGGCCTTTTCTGCAGTCTCTCCATTTTGACAGAAACTTACCACAATTCTTGCTCTGTGGCTCAGGCTGGAGTGAGTGGCGCGATCTTGGCTCACTGCAAGCCCTGCCTCCCGGGTCATGCCATTCTCCTGCCTCAGCCTCCTGAGTAGCTGGGACTACAGGCGCCCACCACCACGCCCGGCTAATTTTTTTGTAGTTTCAGTAGAGATGGGATTGCACCGTATTAACCAGGACGGTCTCTATCTCCTGACCTCGTGATCCACCCACCTTGGCCTCCCAAAGTGCTGGGATTACAGGCGTGAGCCACTGCACCCGGCCACATTTTTTTTTTTAATAGCAAAATATTGAAAGGTCTCTTCGCTTGCTCTTTAATTCAGTTATCTACTAGAAAGGTACAGAATTAAAAAGTTTTTTTTCCCCCAGCTATGATCCAAACACAGAATATTAAATAACATCTGGGTTACTCTAAGTTCCTGGTTTTTATACTTGGATATTTACAGAGGAGTTGAACCTCAAGTTCTGCCACTCTTCAAAATGGGTGACTGAAGAGAGGTTATGATAGGACAGTTAAAAACGTTGACAGTCCTTCTTTCATGGAGGGAAAAATTGATAGTCATTCTCTGATGGAGGGAAGCAAGCTTTCTCAACCACCAACCAATATGACCTCATTGGTCACAAGCCCTGCGGAGATCCAGCAAGATTTGAGTTTTAAATACAGAACATATTTCAAAGAGAACCAGTAGAGAGTGCTGATGTATGAAAAGAATTGAATGCTGGTGAAGGCAGAGTGTAAAGAATCCCAAGAAACTTGCCAGTTTTCATTTAATTAGCCAGTAGTATAGCAACCTAAAAGCCTTGGTGTGTTGACCCCAGCGTGTTTTCATGGAATTGCTGCAGGAAGGCATGATTGGCAGCTGTCCTCTGGCTCACAGCCCCAACTTCTCCAGGAGACTTAAGGCCGGGGTGTGTAGCGGAGGCATTTCTTACCAGGTGGGAGCTCTTTGGTGAAGACTCCTTTCAGGAAAATTTTTTTTTGGCTTCCTCTTCGGGGATGGTTGGAAGGACCATGACACTATCCTCATCCTTTCAATCAACTGGGGTGGCAACCCTCTTTTCTGCTGTCAGCTACAGAGAGGTGACTACGGGGAGAATCTCATCAAAGTTCCCGCCAATGGTAGCTGGGTAGATGATAGACAGCTTCAGCTTATCAGCACCAACAACAAACACCACACGAGCAGCCGCAGGCATATCCTTTTCATCCTTCTCTGCTGGATCCAGCATGCCCAACAGGATGGTAAGGTCCCGATTCTTATCATCGAAGATGGGAAAAGGTAACTTTTCTGTGGGCTCTTCACCATTGTAAGCATTGATATCCTTGCTCCAGGCAAGATGGTCCTCAACACTGTCTGTTGAAAGGGCAATTGGCTGGGTGCAGTAGCTCACGCCTGTAATCCCAGCACTTTGGGAGGCTGAGGCTGACGGATCACAAGGTCAGGAGTTCAAGACCAGCCTGACCAACATGGTGAAACCCCGTCTCTACCAAAGATACAAAAATTAGCCAGGCATGGTGGCGCGCACCTGTAGTCCCAGCTACTCAGGAGGCTGAGGCAGGAGAATGGCTTGAACCCGGTAGGCAGAGATTGCAGTGAGCCAAGATTGCAGTGAGCCAAGATCTCGCCACTCCACTCCAGCCTGGGCGACAGAGAGAGACTCTGTCTCAAAAAAAGGAAAAAAAGAAAAAAAAAAGGGCAATCAACTTACCATTCCTCTTGGCAAATGCCGGTGCCAGTTTTGCAGCTCTGCCGAGCTCTGTGGGGCACACTGGGGTAAAGTCCCGAGGGTGGGAGGAGAGAAAGCCCCATGAGTTTCCCAGAAAGTCGTGGAAACGGACGCGGCCGGCGGTGGTATTGGCCTCAAAGTTGGGAGCCACGTCCCCGAGAAGCCGACCTCTGGGCGTGGCGGTGGCGGTGACCAGGAGGCGCAGCTCGGATGGCAGCCAACCGGGTGGTTCTGACGAAGAAGACATTGTATATTTACACACAAAATTCATACGGATTTTTAAGATAAAATAGAAGACTTCAAAGAAAAATTAGGCCTGTGACAGCATATTTTACTGCACCACTAGAGGAAATCCTTGGAAAATTTGCCAAGCATTAGAAATAGATAAGTCGCTGTGGAAGTTGAATGATGAACCAACCTTGGCTTATACAAAATGAAGAGCAAAGAGCAGGTGTTAAAATTGGGATGTGGGAGGTGACGAGTTCTTCAACACCTCAACCCAGTGAATACAATTTAATGATGTAATCGTCCATGATTTAAATAAAAAAAATTGATAGAACCCTACTGCATCTAACAATATGTCCTATGTTAATAGGATGTTTTCTATACATGATGCAATGAGAACATTTTTCCTACACACCTAAAATTAAGATAATTGAAATTCTACTGTCAAACAAATGTTGATTTAAAAATTATTATTACCTTTATCAAGCACGGCATTTTAATAGATGTTTTAAAAAAGGTGAGCTCTAGGCTGGGTGCAGTGGCTCATGCCTGTAATCCTAGCACTTTGGGAGGCCAAGGCTGGTAGATCACCTGTGGTCAAGAGTTCGAGACCAGCCTGGCCAACATGGCAAAACCCCGTCTCTACTAAAAATACAAAAATTAGCCGGGTGTGGTGGTGTGAGCCTGTAATCCCAGCTGCTTGGGAGTCTGAGGCAGGAGAATCGCTTGAACCCAGGAGGCAGAGGTTGCAGTGAGGTGAGATTGCACAACTGCACTCCAGTCTGAACAACAGAGAGAGATTCTGTCTCAAAAAAAAAAAAAAAAAAAAGACAGAAAAAAGGTAAGTTCTGTTCCGTACAGACAGCCAATTTGCTCTTTGTTATTAGAAAAACTAGAGTGGTAGTTAGAGAATAGTCATTAAGAAATGGTAACAACAACAAAAAAATGTGAAAACAAAGTTTTTTACACCAATGTTGGTTTGCTGAAAATCTCATGATTTCTGATTTCCTTTTCTATCATAAATTTGTTTGGCTGCTCTGAGCCTTTCCCAATCCCAATGCATACCCAATTCTGTTAAGAGATTTTTTTTTTAGTAAATTGATTTAAATTATTTTAATATATTTTAGCATACTGATTTATATAGTGCTGATTGAGCTGATGGAATGTATTGATAATTAGTATGGAGTGTGGCATATGTGTCAGTGTGAATTAACTTTAACCTACACCTTGTAGGTGACTGATTAGCATTTGAACTGCCTCAATTGGCAATCTACACTTGAGAGGTGGACTCAGCAAGACTTCAAATATTGATGTCTAAATCTAAACCACAGGCATTGTGAATTAGCACAAGGAATGAAGGAAAAACGATTTCATTCATGAAATTAGCAAACTTCTAGACATGTGGTGGGAAAGAGAAGTTTTACAGGCTCTACTACCCTTGAAGAAAGGAGGTATAGGAATCTGTTTAAGACCCACATCCAAGTAGCCCCTTGGGGTCGGGCTTCCTTCAGTCCTGTGATCCCACCCTCACTGGATGACTATTGAACCTCAGGAAGCTTTCTGATCCTATCAACAAAATATCGTTGCATCTGCCTTGGAGTGAACCTTTTGTCTGATGTGCTTGTCAGGGCATCTGAGGACTGCGAGTGGTCAAGAGGCCATATGGCTGTCTTACTGACTACTTGCTATTAGATATCTGTTGGATCAACAAAGCATGTCTGAGATTTGCTTTACTTGTAAGACCACTTGGAAACAAAGGAGTAAAGGTCGAGATTGGTAGAAACAACTGGAATCCAAGGATATTCATCATCAGATGCTATTGTCCAGTGAACAAATACTTTTCATATGAGTATTGAACATTTAGGTTTAAATACCCGACCACAGTTGGAGAAGCGCTGCTCATCTATCTTGGGGCACGCTCCCTGTGCATTTGAAAAGTACACGTATTTTGACGTTGAGTGGAACCTACTACACAGACACCTTAGGTCAGGTTGGTCAAGTTACTGCCATTCAAATCTATATGCTTACTGATTTTCTGTCTGCTCTGTCAATGACTGAGATGAGTGTTGAAGTCTCCAATAATAACTGCATTTGCTTACTTCTTTCATTTTTATCAATTTTTGCTTTATTTATTTGGAAGCTCTATAATGAGTTGACATATATTTAGGGTTGCTACCTTGTCTTGATGAAGTGACTGTTTTTATCATCATGTAATGTCCCTTTTTATCCCTGGTAATATTACTTATTCTGAAGTCTACTTTGTCTGATACTAATATAGCTACTGCAGTTAGTTATGATTAATATTTACATGAAATATTCAGTTTTTTTCTCGTATAAAAATCCTATAAACCTTTAGCTTCTCTGTGACAAATGACCATCTCTAATGGCAGAAAATGGGGGAGTGTTTGGGTAGAATTTCAATCCCAGATATTTTATTGTCACTAAATTGCATGCCATCTTTTATAATAAGTAATATATGACTTCATAGACATGACTTCATAGAACTATTGTTAGAACTATTTCAGAATCAATTTCTGAGATGTATTTTGTAAATATGAGTATGAACCTCTTCTTTTCTAAAGATTATGACTCTAAATATTAAAGTCCTTATAAAAAATAATACCTTTAAAATACTTCCCTTTAAAATAAATTCATTTTAGGTGTTCTAAAAAGGAACCTAAGGCTGGGTACAGTGGCTCATGCCTGTAATTCCAGCACTTTGGGAGGCCAAGGCGGGCAGATCACCTGAGGTCAGGAGATCGAGACCAGCCTGGCCAACATGGTGAAACCTCGTCTCCACTAAAAATATAAAAATTAGCTGGATATGGTGGTGGGCGCCTGTAATCTCAGCTACTTGGGAGGCTGAGGCAGGAGAATAGCTTGAACCCGAGGTCAGGAGTTCGAGACCAGCCTGGCCAACATGGTAAAACTTCATCTCCACTAAAAATGTAAAAATTAGCTGGATGTGGTGGTGGGCACCTGTAATCCCAGCTACTTGGGAGGCTGAGGCAGGGGAATCGCTTGAACCCAGGTGGCAGAGGCTGCAGTGAGCCAAGATGGTGCCACTGAACTCCAGCCTGGGTGACAGAGCAAGGCTGTGTCTCAAAACAGAAAACAAAACAAAAAGCGATCCTAATATACAAGATATAGCCATGATATAGAAAGTATTCTTTTACACAAACTTACAAAACCTAATATTGATCTTCTTTGCTAAAACTGTTGAATGGCCTTTGATATTCTCTTGTATGTTCAGTAATGTATCTGTCCAGTCTAATGAAATATTGTGCCTCAATTTGTTCAGGGATAATGGTACAATAAAACATAGGTTTAAGCATGAAAACCTTGTCAATACAATTTATGTGGGTTTTTTTGTAGGTTACAGTGCTGCAAAAAATCATGACATTTAAAAACTGTACTATAAAGCATCCAGCATGTGACTGTGCTCCTTTCTGAGCTAAGAAAGCTATTAAAGAAAAAAAAATTAACAATAATTACAGAAAAGTATCTATTTTTAGAAGAATTGGTATTCCCTTGTTAATTAAACACTACTACTTTCATTTTTTATGAAAGCAATATTTTCATTTTGATTTAAATGCTGACGTAAAACAAACATAATTATTGCCTTTTTCTTCTAAGTCCTTAAAGTGATTACTCCCATTCTCTCTTTGCAAAGTGGACTTACAAGTAAACAGCTGTTGGTTTATTCTTCTCTAAGGAATTTTGATCACAGTACTAGAAATTTTTAAATCTATTAGTAGAAGGCAACAAAAGGAGGTTAAAAACCACAAAATATGTTGGTATGTTGTAACAAGCGTGTTTAAAATACAATTCTTTTTTTTCTCTTTCTTTTTTTAAGAGACAAGGTCTCACTCTGCTTAGAGTGCAGTGGTGCAATCACAGCCCACTGGAGCCTTGACTTCCTGGTTCAAGGGATCCTTCCGCCTCGGTCTCCAGAGCAGCCGGAACTTCAGGAGTGCACCACTGTGCCCAGCTAATTTTTAATTTTTCTAGAGACAGACTTTTGCTTTGTTACCCAAGGTGGTCTCAAAATCCTGGCCTCAAGTGATTCTCCCACCTCAGTCTCCCAAAGTGCTGGGATTACAGGCATGAGCCACTGTGCCTGGCCTTAAAATGAGATTATTGAAGTGGCTAGGCTTTTGGACAGAGAAAGATGAATACCCTTAAATGTCTTTATTTCAAGCAGAGAACCACTAAGAAACAAAACCAAGCAAAAAAAAAAAAAAAAAAAAAATCAATTGTTTTATGAGTTTGTCAAGAGTTTAGCTATGTTAGGGGAGCCACAGTGAGAAAGGTCAGCTACTAGGTCACACAGTGGCAAAGATAAGCTATTGGGGATTAGATGCTAGGAGTGGACTAGAGACCCCGTAAGGCTAAGGAGACATTGAAGGTCAAGTCTCTCATAAGGCAGCAAGGATAGGCAAGTCCGCAGACGGCCAGGGACTGAGACCTGCACGCAGAGGGGTCATCTTAGGCCTTCTGAGGTAGAATAAAACAATCCGAATGTTACATCTGGGAGGGAAAAGTATTATCTTAGCACAAATAATAAGCACATTGTTCATGAATTTAGAGGACAGACTGTCCCGTAAAAAGAAGACACTCTGTATCACGGTATTCATTGAGGAAAGAAACTGAAAATATCACGCAATTAGACAGCCACAAATGAGATGTTACATTAAACTTGAATATCACCCACAAGACATTGAGCATGATGTGTTTAGGCATTAATGTCCTAAGCTACTCGTGCTGGAAGAACATTCACGGTATTATACAAGATGTGCCAGAGTGCTGCATAAAAGGTGCCCCTTTTCATTTCTAATGAACTACTGAAAGTGGCAAAGGGTTGTGGAATCTCTCACACACCGTTTCAAGTTTCCAGTGATACTCATTTCTATGGAAAAGGTGTGGAGAAACCAGCATTTGTTTTGATGGCACAGAAAATTGCAGCAATCTATATCCAATGGCAGACACAATGGTGAAGATAGGTTGGAGGCAATATATCCG